ACATATAGCTGCAAAATATAACACACGTCACTCTGGCATCTCAGACTGCATGATATTGTACACAGCACATACATCATCATGTATAGATTTCACAAGGAATTCAGCCCCAATAAAAATATCCATTGGCACAGTAATCATTTAAATACACTTGAGCACTCTGAACAGTTAGATGAAGACATATACATTTGCTTAGTAAATATTATGCTTAATACAGAACCTTAATACAGTTACATACCATCATACAGAACCTTATAGATGACAAGACCTGAAGCTAACTATATCACTTCAGTACTGTAAGATTAACCAGGTATTAGGGCTGAAAAGATTGATCAAATTGTATTGTACATATAATACTTGTGTATTATATTAAATAATTTTGTTAAAAAAAAATCTTTTTTAATTTAAAAAAAAAGTGTACTTATTGCTTTGAAATTATTAAGTAAAGATGCGATCAACTGTGCAGTTTCATATATCAAAAGGAATGAAAAATTCATGAAGAAATACATTTTGATCGTATTACCATTTTAACACTATGTCAAATTCTGTGAAATGCTTCGCTCAAACATTATGAAGTTAATTGCCATTTTAAGCAGAAATATGTATTGTGATACACAAGACCATTGATAAATAATATTTTAGGGAAATCAAATACCTTCTTTTCTATCAACAACTTAATAAATTAGTTCATACAAGAATTTGAACATTTGGTGTAATTTATTTTAATACCATTTAAATCATTTATACTTGAAAAGTCGACTTGCGTGTATTCATCACATTTTCTGCACTGCCTACAGTACTGTGGACATGTTCAATTAGAACCTTAATTACTGTAAATATAAAATTGTTAACTTACATTGACCGGATAACACCTGAATCTGGAAGCTCCCTTCTGGTTTACAAAATTCTGCGAATCCTTTTAGAAAGACACTTCTAGAAAACACTTTGAAATTAAATTTAACACTTTTCTTAACAATAAACCGATATCCATGTCGTAGGCAGTACTCTACATCCTAACTGGTTTCCGAATTTCCCGTAAATCCCGCGATGAAAATTATTTTAATTGGCATTGTGCATCACCGTAACTAAATAGCCATACCCGTTAAAACACGGCAATCAAGCGTAGACACAACTTCACATCAAAATATGAACCTGTAAGTAATTATCTTCCTACTTGCGTCACATTTCCATTCATCGTTATGAATGGCCTGGTATTGGCCTACCGTACCCTTATTGGTTATGTCAGCCCGCTACCTAGCAAAAATAAACAATACTCACCGTTAAGCACATACTTGACTGCTCTATGTCAAAAGAACCCTCGATTCAAACGCATAGAAGATCTGTTAAATAAAGCACCTTAAAACCATTGATTACTTTGGTGATAAGATATATGGTCTTCCATCGAGAACGATTGTCGATTTTATCGTGAAATTGTTCGAACAAGACGCAAATATTGCTATATACATGTAATTATATATGACATTTTATGTAAAAACGTATTTGTTGAACACTTTCCCGCCATTTAGGGTAGGACTAAACAAAAAAAACAATACCGGAAATAACTACAGCTGCAGTAGGTTTCCGGAAATGGGAAAATGTCATTTTTTTCTCTCTATGTGATGGCGTTTTCTACCACATTCACAATGTAACCTCATTATCATTCGTTAATAATAATGAATTACTAGATAATATATGCCCATGAACGAGTCAACACATGCATAGTTATTTAACGCAGGTGAAATATTGGGAAAATGATAAAGCAATAACACTTTGGCATGAATTAATTAATTTCCAAATTTTTAAAAATTTAAAAACCTAGATATCCCACATATTCACAATAATGTACAAACATATTAAACTTTTTTATTCGGGTATTTAAATTTATAGTGTATTTTATAGGAAATTAAAACAAGTGTCTTGCACACTTATAAATGTAAATCTAATACCTTATCGCAGAGACGTATAATACAGTATACGTCTCTGCTTATCGTAAACCGCAAACATATATGATGATTATATCATCATTGAATTAGATTGAGACACTCTCACAGTGAGTATATTCAATAACATAAGATCAGAGACGTCATATATAATATACGTCTCTGATAAAATGAAATGAAAATGTGTTTTATATTTATATATACCTGAGTCTACATACGCCTTGATCATGCAATGTGGAAGTTAGATAATACATCTAATTATTTAATTTTGAACAAATAATTTTTTTTTATCTTGTTTGTGTACATCCGAGTTCCCCATGAATGAAAATAATTTGGGTAGATGACTGTACCCTTAATAAAAGCTTAAAAAAATTATGTCATTTTCACTTACCGTTACAGAAAGAAATCCCCACACCTCGCTCATTAAAACATCACAGGACAGACGAACTTGTCTAATGATCCATACATATGTTTAGGTGATAAGTTAAAAAAAAAAATGCAAATACTTCTCTAACGGGAATCAAGATGTTGAACCTTGGCCTGATAAAGTCAGTTGAGCTTCAGAAAATGACCCACTTGGTGTGAAAACAACTATCATAAAGAATTTTATATGATAAAAGTGCTAAATTTTAACTTTGATTTAATATCTCATTATATTCGTTATTTTGCGTATTTTAAACTACAAACTTTCATTTATTTTTTTCCACAATGTGTGACATAAATATGATTAACATCATGGAACTATTTGTGTAAATTGTTTCACCTTAACTTGTTTCAATTTAGATAAGTTCTATTTAC